AGAACATAAAATAGAGAATCAATCAAGCACTTTTGTACCCATCCTATTAGACACTATCCATCATACCTTTCTCCCCCCAAGTAAACAGCTTTCTGAAGCTGAGAACCTAGCTGGCTTTGTAGAACCCTACTGTCACTGACTGTAATTCTTCTGAAGTTGAACTAGGGAGCAACAATTCATTTTAGCCTGGCTAAAATGCTACCCAAATAATGAGAACAGGACAAACGTACTTCCAGTTTGCTATGTCAGGCCTGGCTATAAACTTTCTGCAAAGTAGTGGCTATTTTTTATTCACCTAAAATAAATTTTCTTGCAGTCTTAGACCCTGTACCAGCTTGAATGACCTCTGAACTTTCACTTCACTGGGACCACATTTGGGCTGTGAGTATCACCAGCTTAACAAAAATGCCAGCAACAAATGCTATAATTTTGGGAGTGAAATGAGAAGACAGCTTGCCTCCTTCCCTTCTATCACGCATGCCTTCTGCAGCCTGAAGAAGAGAAGCACTAGAAAGTTTGCCAGCAGAAAGAAGGGAAGATGGAAAGCACAGTCTAAGGATCACACAGCACAGCCACAAACCTGAGGCCCACAGATAGAAGGCACCCACAGGAATTTGGTCTCAATGTGCTAAAGCTCTGATGAAGCACCCAGTGACTGCTGGCTCCCATGTCCTATTTTGGAAGGCTGAGTGCTGCCTTCCTCCCCAACACTCCCCTATTGCTAGGGCAATGCTTTCTACAAGCTGACCTCAGCACACAGCCGAATAAAAATACTGGTACTAGATGGGCTCTGGTGATGTTAGGAGCCCCCAAACTGGTGCTGAAACAAGAGCTACTGTTGCTCTTCAACCCTGTTTTGTGCAGCTGAAGACACAGAGATGTTCTCTTCCTACCACCTCACTCCCTATTGCAGCTAATTGTCATTGTTCACAAAGGTTTAGTGCTGAGCTTGTTTCATTGCGGATAGCAGTGTCTCTGTGAGCAGAAATAGGGAGGAAACTTCCATTACAACTCAGCTAAAAAGCCTACTGCAATAAAGGATAAGAAAGAATGAGACTTAAGACTATTTATTTTACTTGTTTCACTACAGCTATCTGCTGTTGCATGTTCCCTATGTTCTCCTCCTCATTCAGCCACTACAAAAATAAAGGCAACAGTAATTCTACCAAAACCAAGCTAGTGGAGATGGCAGATAGCTCTGGATATACTTTCAAATATTTCTATTACTCGGGATGGAATTCCAGTTTTACATTTATGTTACCTTCCCTTGACTTTGTGTCTAATAATGCCATTATGTAGCAGTCTAATTAACCTAGAGATTAACAGTGTATTAGAGAACTGATCTAGTCATAGGGGCACTGTAGTTAATAAGCTTTAAAATTTCAATAGCTGCATCCAGCTATTATATATAATACAATACATACAATACAACTTCCTCCCACAACCTGTGGTTTTTCCAGATACTCAGAAAGGTCTTGACCCTCTGATTTAACCATCCTCAACTCACTTCTGAGTGTCCTTTTCTGCTGCCTCAGTGATCTGTGTGCAAAACCTGCCAGACTGCAAGGAACAGCTGTTCCACTCCAAGCAGAAGCAAGAAATTTCAGCCACTACAGTCCAGCCTTTTTTTTTTTTTTAATACCTTTGTGTGTCCCTCAGCTCAGACTGCACTAGTCTGTAGGACTAATCCTATCGTATGCCTTGCCTCTGTTCCTTCCTCACCCTCAGAGACCTTCTTGGCAGCTCAGGATTGTTCTAAGTTATCACTCAGAGCTTGATTTAGCCACTGCCATGACCAGAAGCTTTTTTGAAGGTACTTGAAAAGCAGCAAGGTTCTTGTCAGACAAGAAGAGTATTGCCTGAGAGCTCTCAAAGATGAGAGCAAATGAAGGAACATAGCCAGCCAGTAAAGCCATGGTCTCTTCTGGCCAGCTGGTCCTGTCTGGAACCCTTCAGCTTTATTTCCCACCTGCTTTTCCCAATATGATATCAAATATGAAGTCAGTATAATCTGTCAGTACTACAGCAAACAACCACACCTCCTTCTGTCCTGGATTCACACCATTCTGCAGCCTCGGTCCAAGGCACAGCTGGATGCCTCTTTCACACTGGTGCACGCCTCTGAGCTTTTGCACAGCACCTGATCACACTGCATGCCCAGCAGTGCACACATTGCAGTTTACCACTTCTAACTCTATATTGCTGCATGCTGAGGGCAGCTAGCAGGCTTCTGTATTTATTTGGGATAAGTTTGAGAGAGAAAAGCTTTATCCTTCTAATTGGTATCAGCAGTAAAGGCCAAGGGTTGTTTTCAACATGACAGGTAAGAGCCACTTAAACCACTGACAAGCCAAAGGTCAACTCACAACTGACAGCAGAGCAAAGTATGGAGGTGCTTCTGTGCTTGCACAGCCATTACTGCAAGTGCTGTACCTGGAATGGTGACACAGCTTTTGGAGCTGCTCTGAAGATTACATTTGATGACAATCACTCCAGCAGTGTTAGTCTGAGCTTCAGATTTCATCAACGCAAGACTCTTCTTTGAACTGATCAAGCTAAAAATGTTCACAGTCTTTTTAGCAAGTTCAGCCAGGATCTCCCACACACCACAAAAAGCTCAGTCCTGGCTTATGCTGCCCTCAGCAGTCAGAGCACTGATTTGGCAGAAAACAAGATGGACTGTGTTAACTAACAGCATTGTTTAAAATAGTACTGATGACCATCTCTGATTCCCTTATTTCCTCCCTACCTATACTGTTATCAGAGAATTTTGGATCTGGAAGCATTCTTCATTTCATGAAGATCCTGCTTTGATATCCTATGATAAAAGCAGCAACACAAGAGTGCTTTGCAGTAGCAGCTGTCAGCAGCCTGTGGAACTTGCCCAGAGACTGAACACAGAAAGATAGATACTTCCATCCCTGCTTATTAGCCAGCCACATAATCTGGGTGTTTCTTTGAGACATCCATCAAAACACGAGCTTGCCTAAATCCTCCTGGCTTCGGTTCCCTGGGCACTGCAATTGAAGCAGTCTTCCCAGACATTGCTGTGCTTGCATCATGGAAGCAATGTGACAAGGGAGTTTACCAGGATTTCTAAAGACTCTTCCCCAAGGCTTCACAGTCACAGATACACCTATGCAGTGCCACTGGAACATCTAGAAACAAAGTCTTTGAACTCTAGAAAATTTTAACTTCTATAAAGAAGATTTAGAACAGTACTCTCCTGTTAGCTCTGGAACATTGCCTAAGCCCTAGAAGAGATAAGAGCCAGACTGCTTGAATCACTGACACTGTAACTCCATAACAAAGGCAACCAGAAATCAGGGGGCAAAAAAACCCTGCCGCTGGCAGCACAGCAAAGCTTTGCACATCACTGTTCTGTCAATACCATACGGCACTCAGTCTCACAGAGATTTGCTTCTCTAACGTAAATATTTCTGCTGGTAACATAATTCTGATTCTTGACAAGAACTTAACTTTTGTTAAAAACTTAAGTTAACTTTATGTTAGCAATTATTCTGCTAGGTTGTTACATAACAAAGAAGCATTTCCTCTTCTTCTGCCTTTTGTAAGCTATAAATTCTTCCACCTATTACTTTCTTTCTAGGCCCCCCTGCTGCTGGTTAGGTGGTAACGGTGCCAGACCCACATTTTCTGTAGGCTTTCATTATCCAAATGCACTTAATAGCAGGCAGAAAAGTCAAGAGAGATCATAAGCTAAGTTTGCAAATGCTTCAATAGATTAATTAAATGCAGCAACATATTTATTGATAAGATCAAAGATGTGAAAAAATGCTTGTTAGCTATTAGAAAAACTAAATATATCACAGACTATATGCTTGAGCATATGGATGAATAAAAGGCACACTCTCACGGGACACAGGGAAAGGAGAACCTCATTCAGAAGAAGTTCACAATGGAACTGCTAACCTGCTTTTACCAATGACATCTGGTTTTGGAAATGATAAAGGGTATAAAGAACCCAGAGGAGACAAAAAGGGATATTAAAGTGTACAATCTACACTGTCTTGAGTAAAGGCACAGCTAAGCAGCCAGCTGAAATGCCAGAAGGCAGTGCCATGATGTAATACCTCACATGTTCTCCCTTAGCACATCTATTACCCCACCAGCAGTTGGCAGCTGCACAATTCACCCTCCCTAGGAGGACTCAGTTTCCCAAGAGGACCCAGAAGCACCTTCCTTTGACCCCAGAGACAGCAAATGCTAACCGTGCCACCGTACCCGGGGCCACTTACTGGAAAGCCATGGCTCCTGCCTCCAGAGTGCACCTCGTAGGGGACTGCTCGTTCAGCTTACGGAACAGCTGCTTTGCCTGGCTCTGGTACTGCTGCAGGTCGCGGCCGGACTGCGGGGAGAGGACAGGCCGTTGGCAGCTGCCGTTACCCGGAAAACACCCCCCACCCGCGTCCCAACGGCTCGATGAAGTGCTGGTCGTGGGAGTCGGCGGGGCTCGGCCGGAGCCTAAGGAGAGCGAGATCGATTGGACCGGGCCGGGCCTAGCTGGCCCAGGCCGAGCCTGGCTAGGCTGAGACACCGACATACCTGCTCATCTTCCTGCATGGAGGCGGCGAGCGGCAGCCCGTCCGCCACGCGGGCGATCATAGTAAGCAGCACCATCCTCGCCTCTGCTCACTGCCCTACCGCCACCTCCTCCTCCCCCCCTCAGCCACCACTGAGCTGGCCGGAAACTGCCACTACAACATCCGGTCCGCCACCAACAGCCGCCCGGCAATTTCCGGCCGCGCCACAGGAAACCACCCGGCGGCAGCGCGGCCCTCATCTGAGCGAGCTGTGGGCGGTGCCTGCATAAAGCCCGCCCCCACGAACACGCCCGTCCTATTTAGCCACGCCCAGACTCCTTACCACTCCCTTCCTAGGCCTGCCCACTTTCACGTGACCACACCCCCCGCCGGGGCGGGGCGGTGGCGGCACAGCCAGCGGCGGCGGCCCGGTGGGCGCACGCCAGGCCGGCAGCCATGGCGGCGGCGGCGGAGCGGGGCCGCCTCAGCTTCCCGGGCGGTGCCGGGGCCTTGGGGCGGCCCGTGCCTATGAACCTCTTCGCCACCTGGGAAATCGACGGTTCCAGCCCCAGCTGCGTGCCCAGGTAACGGCAGCGGACGCGCTCCCGCCTCTCCCCTTCCCCTCGGCGGGCAGCCGGCGGGGCCTGGTGGCTTGGCGGTACCCCGCGTGTCGGAGCCCCTTCCCGGCCGCCCCCTCGGCCCCGCTTCTCCTCAGCTTCGGCCCCTCTGCCCCGCTCCGGGGGTCCCTCCGTCTCGCAGTCTCCCGTTACCGTGTCGCCCCCCGCCATGTTGGAGCGCACTGCCCCTCGGGGCCGTCCGGTCGGCGGGGACTCGGCGCTGGGCAGACCCCTTCCCAGCCTGCGAGCGGGCGCACGCTTAGGGCGGGGGTGTGCCGGAGCTCCCAGCGCCTGTCTGCTTTGATTTTAATGTCTTTTACTTCTTGGGGGCGCGGCGAGAGTGAGTGAGCGGGCAACGGAGTCATCGGGCTGAGCTCGCAGGCGTGCGGAGCTCTGCGGATACCCCGGAGCTTCCATCCATCTCCTGTGCCACAGGGCGGTCGGACCCGTGTCCCTCCATCTCCTCTGCCGATGGGCACAATCGCTGTGTTGCGGGCAGGCAGCCGTCCGCTGGGTCTGTTCTGCGCTCTGAGCTCGTGTATTGTGGACAAGGTGATAGCACGGGGCAGAAAGGCTGAGTTCTGCAGCTGCGGATGGTTTGGGTGAGGATAGCCCGATTGTGCTGGCAGCGTGAGGTGTGTCATGCAGCAACTTTCTCTGCTCAGCTGTCCTGCTCTGCAGCAGGAGGTTTCCGAAGGGCACTGCCACCAGGAGGGCACGTATCTCTTTCTGATGAGTCCCTGTGCTGCCACACGGAATGAGATAGAGGTAGGTCAGAGCACTTTTGCATTTTGTGCTGGGTTCCAGTGCCATTTGCACAACCCTGGTGCTGTGCAGAGGACATGCAGCACTCTTGCGGTGCCGCTTTGAACATTGTTCTCTCCTTTGCGCCCATGGCTCCAGGAAGGCAGTAGGGCTTCCATCTCACCCAACTCCTAGTGGCAGCTGTTAAAATTAAAAAACACAAATGTCCGTTGCTGTCAAGGACTTTTAGTTCTGCATTACCATTTATGCTGATACTTGCAGATACGAAAACTAGCTCATGACATAGGTTGCTTGTTTGCAGATCTGTGGATGACCAGGAACTGCAGCGTAAGGATGCTGGCACTGCTTGGATGCATGGTGGAATGTTGGAGGCTCAGAGTGGCACCTGAGGCAGGCAGCTGGCTGGGGTCTGGGTGCTGTGAGAGGCAGTGTGGGTACTGGTGCATAAGGGGCAGAGCTGGGGCTCAAAGTGGAAGCGTTGAAGGCACTGTGGCAAACTGTGAAGCAGGAGCTGGTGGAAGTGCTTGGATTGCATGCTCTGGATCTGTGATGGGGGGACTGGGGCACCTGTATTCCATCTAGGAACACAGCTTTTGTGTGAGAGGTCCCAAGTGGGTGGGTCCTTCTGGCTTCAGTGCTGGTATTGTCTTTGCCAGCTGCTGCTGTTTGCCCATCCTGCCCAGCTGGTTGCGAGCTCCATACAGGCTGGGCTGTACGAGTGCTGTGTCAGGGATGCAATGTGTGGTGGGACTGCAACTCTCACTGTGATTGCCAAGTGTGTTGTTGCTCTGAAATGAAGTCAGAAGCACCAAGGCTGCAGCCCCGCAGTAATGTTGGTCTGATGGCAGGGAAGGAGTGTGCTGTGTTGCTTGTGCCAGGCAAACAGTAAGGTCTGTAGCAGCAGCTGGAGTGCTGAACCAACATTCTGTTGTTTTTCACCATTAAACATTATGTCCTGTGGTGCTACTTCAGGTCCATGCTTTGTATTTCATTATAGGTTTTGTATGAATCACTGTGGTGGAGAAGGCAGGAGTTTGAAAACCTTATGTTATATTTTAAGCTCACAGTATAGCAATTTTTCTGTGGCACAAAGGCACTCGATGTTTTTGTGTTAAAATGAAAAATACTGAGATGAAAACTGTTCTGTGGGGGAAACAGTATTAAAGATAAGTTTGTTGTCCTAGCAGATATCTGCTGGAATGTGAAAAGAGGATGTGGAGGAGAGTGGGTCAAGTAATGTGGAACTGCCTTAGTCTCTTCTGAGATTTCCACCCGTGACAAGTTCCCCTCCATGTTTCTGTTGGCAGGACAGCCTGTGTAGCTCAGAAGAGATTGGAGTTGGACGGAGGATTCATGACAGAGGAGTGTGTGTTTGGTGAGGGAGCACTGTTTCCTTCCCCTCTTGTGGAAATAAATCTGACCCCATTTCTCAACGCTTTCTCCTGTAGTGAGCTGAGCGGCAGGAGGGCTGGCTGGAGGCATTGCAGGCTGTGCTTTGAGTAGCTGGCATTACTCAGGTGTACCCTGCACTCCCCAGGCAATGGCTGCAAGCTGTGCTGCAAGAGGAAGACCTCCAAGCACTGCTCTTCATTGACCAGCCTCGATGGCAGATTGGCTGAGAGTCCTCTTGGCCTGGACAGGCTCAGTGAGATCTGGAAGGCTCTGGTGCCTCTGTAGCTTCCCTCTCTGACCAGGCTGTGTTTAAACTTAAGTGCTGTTCTGCAGCCATGTGTTTTGAGTGAAACACAAATGTAGGTGATGCATTGTGCTTGTACTGGTCTCTCTTTCTCTCCTGCCATTTGCAGCAATGGTTTCTGGCATCTTTCTTAAGTACCTATAGCTCCTGGGCTTTTTGACAGGATTGCTTCAGAAATGCAAGTTCTTTCTTTTATTCATCCCAGCAATGTAACTTAAGCTGTCTCATTTGGATGTAACTGCTATGTTCTAGAAGGGAGAGTTGCCTACCTTATTCTCCCATTTCTTTCTTCTGTGCATTGAAATATTTTTCCTCCTGGAAGGTTACATTGCACAAAGTTTCCTCAATACCTGAAAAAGCAAGAGTAGTGTTCTACAGGGACAATCAAACCTCACTGCTCAAGTTTCCCCACATAGAATTAGTCAGTGTTATTGTGTTCTGTTTTTCTTTTTCCTTTTTGCTCCCAAATGTTGTTGATGAAGCTGTGGGTGTGAATGGCAGAGCCACTACTGTTTCAAGGGAGCTTCAGGAGGCTGTTTGAGGAAGAGACAGATCTGGGGGAGGTCTTTGTTCACAGGGGCTCTTCTGGAACAAGCGGCAGTGAAGCTCAGAGCTTGCCCTGGGATGGGGTTTGTTAGAAGCTGCTGCCTTAACTGCCACATGGTTAGAAAAGTTCAGGTTTGAGGTGTGGAGTGCAGTGATGCTGAACTGTGTGTGGAGCAGCAGTGACCTGACTTGGAGATATGAAGGAAACCCGTGTAACATACGTGGAGGGAGATTGTGCGGTTTGGGCACTGCCCGAGTTTCACATGCTACCTTGCCTCTGTGGGTGAGGAAACATGAGAGAGTCTGTGTGCTGCACTGGAACAGGGGGCTGCTTTTGCAGAGACATCAGTGCTCCATGCTGTGGGGTGGCCTTGAAGCACATGGACATCCCTGGGCAATGGAAACCGCTTGCAGTGAGGCTGTGGGTTCACAGCAGCTGAGCAGATCCGAACAGTTTTGCTCATGCCCCAGGCTCTGTGCTGCTCTTGCAGTGCCAGCTCCATCTCCCACTGCTCTGTTCTGCGGTCAGCTGCAGTGGGTGAGTGAGTTGCTGGGATCGGCAGAGGAGTCTCAGAGCACATCAGGGTATCAGCATGATATGTGAGCAGAGTGATGCAGTGAGGAGCAGTCCCACAACCTGCGTGTTGGCACCCTGACGTGGTGCCTGGTCCTTTCTCAGCTGAGCACTGAGATGGCAGTGCTCTGTGGAAAGCCCCTGACTGATTGCTCTCTACAGGTGCCCTCAGAAGGGGGAGCAATGCCTTTGGGTTCAAAGAATGCTTCCCACTGCTGGAAATGGGAACTTGCTTGGCCGGTGAGTCCCTGCTTTCTAACCTGGCTCGAGCAATGGCAAGAGCAGGCTGTGCACAACTTGATACTGTAATGATTGTGGCTGAGTGATGCTACGTAAATGAGCAAGTAAAACTGCTGATTAATTCAGGTAGGAAGAGGCGTTTTAAGCATATCAACCTTCTGACCCATTGGTTCACTGACATCTAGAAAGAACTCTTGTTTGTTAGGGTTGCTGCTGGCACGGTCCTTGGGAGCTGACTGCAGATTCTTGGTACAGGAAAATGTCTAATTACTCAGATGACTAGGTACGTCTCAGAAGTGCTTATTTGGAAGCTTTGTTTTGATTTTGTTTGAGTAACACTGAATGCCTAACATTTTACCACTGGAGGAAATTGAATACAGATGAGAATGAGGCAGGCTTTAAAAAAAATTGCTGGCTAAGGCAATGTTAAACATTTGAGATGCTTGAGGAAAGGCATGCAAACCTGAGCAATGGAGGTGAAGTGTGTGGGTAAAGTACAGTGGCCAAACCCCTGACTCTTGGTGCCAGTAGGTCCTGTCTCTCCCCTGCTTTGGGTTTAGCCATCGTGGAAGAGGAGAGGCCCAAAACGGCATTGAGCAAGATGAAGTGTTCCCTTTGTGCTCCCAATGCAATCAGGACAGCCAGAGAGCAGTGGAGCTGCTGGTACTGTGCCTCTCATCAGTCCTGAGCGTTCCATGGTTGCTGTGGCAAATGTGAGGCTGTATCAAATTAGCTATGAAATGATTTGCATAATAGATTAATCAACCGGCAACAAAACATCCCTCTTTTCTGCCAACGAAAAGAAAAGCTTCAACAGAGCTGTTACAAGAGGCCATTATGTTCCTTGCAACCCTTAATCTTTTTTTTTCCAGGAGCGCTCCATGTTTTGGCCTTATGCAGGAAGCTGGCCTGCGCACTGCCTTTATTTGCGTCACATCTTGGCAGCTTTTTCTAATTCTTTTGGGCCAAATTTTGCCACCGTTACGGTGACCTTCTAGGGAGGGTATTTCCTATGGAATTGGTGGCTGGCTGCCAAAAAGCTCCGTATTGCCAGGTCCTCCACTAGCCTTCGCCTTTCCATTGCCTTACTAAGGGGAGAGAAATTCCTCCGGGCCACTTATGACCTCCAGAACGTCTCCATTTCCA